TTTTGATGGGGTCAAGTAGATACCTATCTACTTCATTGCCTATAACAAATGTGTCTCCTTCTTCCAACTCCCTATCCCAATCCTCAAGAAGTTCAGCCATCTTTCCGCTAACACCGGTTGAGAGATAATCGTTGTTGCTGCTATTAGTAGTTTGCTCCACCATTTTGACTCCTTTTTGACCACTTTGAGTACCAAATGTTAAAGCATATATATCTGTTAGGCTGGTCAACAATTCTTTCACTTCTCCAACTTTTTTTTCCCACCAATTCCTTACCCAAGTTCAACATCTTTTCACATATTCGTTGGAAGTTTAACAACTTATACCTTGGATCCAAGACTAAAGCTATCAAAAGGAGTTGATTACAGTCATCTATAGATCCAAAGTACTTCTTGTACTTACTCCTCGTTTTCACAGCCATGCTTGACAACAATTTTTTGGCTTCACCTTCACTTTCACCTTCACTTCCATCTCCATCGGGTGAATAATGATGCTTAAACATGTCCTCAATCTCTGACTCGATTGTAATCATGTGATGGAAGGCTCTGGGAGATGTGGGGCGGTTTGTTGCACTCACCATCACTGTTACATCAAAAAAAAATTTCAAAAACTTCACAGAGACAGCAGCTTTGTCCCATCCTGGTTCAGTCGGTGGACCTATCCTTCGTCGCGGTGATTCAACTACATATTCTTCATCTTCCTCACCTACATCTTCACTCTCATCGAAGTAACTCCTCCACCTCACATCCTCCTCTTCAACCATCCTATCAAATCCCCTTTTCAATTGCATAGCAGTATCCAACATGATGTATGTAGAGTTCCATCTTGTTGGAACATCTAAAACACACACTTTATTGATGTTTAGGTTTTCATTTTGCACACACCCCTTAAAAACATCAAGTCTAGCCGGAGAGCTTCTAACATATCTAACTCCATTTCTAATGCTAGCTATAGATTTGTCCAACATATGTAAACCAGAACTAACAATCAGATTTATAATGTGAGCTAAGCACCTCACATGTAGAAACTTTCCTCCAAATAATTGTTGTGGATCAATATTAGACAACTTCTTTCTAATGTAATCAATTGTTACCTTGTTAGCTGACACATTATCTACGCTAATGGTCAATACCCTCTTGACCCCCCACTGCAGTAAACAACTCTCTAGGATCTTACCTATTGTTTGCCCTTGATGGTTAGGAATAAGACAGAAGTTAAGAACTCTCTTGTGCATTCTCCATCCATTATCAATGAAATGCGCTGTTATAACCATGTAGTTTAAGTTCTGAATTGATGTCCATGTATCAGTTGTCAAACACACACAATGTTTACTTAGCTCCTTCTTTAGTTCTGCCTTTTTTGCATCATACATCCCTAAAAAAGTTTTCAATATGGTTTTCCTACAGGGAATGACAATTTTGGGGATAGCTACTCTGCAAAACCTTTTAAATCCAGGTCTTTCTGTGGCACTAAAGGGCAGCTCATCTATCACAATCATCTCAGTAGCAGCAATGACACAATTTTCTTGAGTCCAGTTTAAAACAACATCATTTGACCCATCAAAGTTTAAATGGGTTTGACCCTTACTCAAATGTGTCCTCCCTCCATATCCTAGGCAAACTTGCTCAATGTGTTTTCTAAGACTACTAGTTCCATTGTTAGTAGAATGACAAGCAAGGTGGGTAGAGCAATAAACCTTTGAACTAAAATGTAATCAGTTTTTTATATGAGTATTTCACAAAAGTAACTTAGCAACTAACATATTTAGCACTTCTGTAGACGCTATTTCAATTATTTTTGGAGGACTAAGTTGTCATTCTCAATAGCAAAAGTATGAAATAAAAGAAATATAAACCAGAAAGAGTGAAAGACTACCTTTTAGTTTAAATATATAAATTATTAGGAAACAAAACATGTTATTTCACATTGTATGTTGTACTAAATGAAAAACTCCAGTTTCACAGGTTTATAATGGAAGCTCAAAGCAGCCCCCACCACCAACCAGTAGGTAGCACATGGTTTTGCCTATTTCCTCAACAGATTAAAAGATCAGTTCCATATGCAGTTTACTGATATCAGTACAATCAACAAGTTATGTAGCCAAATGACTCCTGTGAAATGAAAGTTTTTAGTATGTTGCATATATTTCTTCAGTGTTTTGGTTTCTTTTTATTCAATCGTAGTAGGAAAGCATTCAAAAATGATGGATATATAATTATCTATAAGCTAGTCAGTTTGAAAAAACAGTTCCGGCAGACCGAAGAATCGAAGAGTAGTGGTCGGTCAAATGAGCACACAAGAGCAGCAGTCGACCAAAGTCCAGGGTTCCGGAGAAACTGAGCTGTCAAATACAGAGTATTTGACAATTTTGTCATTAATTATTTACATCTTCATCGGTTCATACTTTTCATTCTATTTTAGCTTCATTTTTGTTCATTTTTTCTGAAGCGTAGACTATGTTTGGTACGATTGTCTATCATGTGTGCAAGCTTGAGCTATGGAGGAACTTACATGCTAATCGTTTTTTTTATACTTCATGATTGACAAAAGTCTGAAATACAAACCCCAAATCACACCACCATAAAAAAATTATAAATTACAAATTAGGGATAACCTGGAGTGTTGGGATTTCGAAGAAAAAGGATGTGCATAGTCCACGATTGAAGCTTCAAAGATGTTGTTAGTTCTTCTTCTCTCAAGTGTTGAAGGAGAAAGAGAGAAAAGCCATAGCTCTCATGTCGGCAAATAACTTTGAGGACTTTTGTGAGTTTCTCCGTAAAACGTAATTATTCTATGTGGGCTGGTCTATCGAGTAATGTATTTGGTATAAATTATAAAAGATACGAAGTATTATGTAAATATATACCATATTCGGTTGTACTTCGGTTCTAAGAAGGTAAAATATTTTAGAACCAGAACCGAACCATTTACTCTAACTCAGGAACTGAACCGAAAAAGTAACATGTTGCAATTTTTAGGAACCGAACCGAACCGGAATTTTCGGTTCGGTCCGGTCCGGTTTTTCCGGTTTTCCGGTTCCGAGTCCCAGGCCTAATTTAATCGGTATTACAACATTGAGCCACGAAATATGCAGTAATAGGCCTTGTTTTGTGAGCCACCAAATCTGTAAAAATTCAACACTCAGTCTCCTTTGTACAATGCATTTAATGCAGTTTATGGAGCCCCGTTTCCTCCATTAAATGTTCTCATGTGCGCTGAAGATCAAACAGAACTCCCAGCCATATTGTAAAGACCCGACCCCGCCTGTGTGCTGGACAAACGTTTGGGTGGGAAAAGTGGACAATTTTTCTCTTGCTTTTGTATAGGGAAAGATTATGTAAGGTTAAGAACAATGTGTGATCGTGTTTCTCAACAATGTGAAAACTTTACATTTTTATAAGATCATTTGTAGTGCAATTAGGAGTTGGTTTCTCCATCTAAATGAATGTGTAGTTTCCAAGGGCAGATCTACTTAATTTCTAAATCATGTTTCTGAATGATAACCAACATGAATTATTCATAAAGAGATTAGTAAAAAATACAAGTCTCTGAATTCTGAGTGTTCACTCCTTGCTTTTTATATTGCCCTTGTATCATTGAAGTCTCCATGGTTGTTACTACGTAATGTTGCAACCTTAGCCGACACAGATCCACGAACACCACTAAAATCACCGACAACAAGTAGCGGATCTTGCAATAAAATGTGGGATGTTCAAAGTTATTTCAACGTTAAAATGTTACTCAATAATATTATTTGACCCAACAATTGAAGAAATGTAATTTTTTTGAACTACAAAAAATAGAAAATAGAGTTCAGAATAAGAAATATTGTATAAAAAAATACCATATACAAATTATTACATCAATTTTATATGTATTTTTGCACTTCATTTTCAAGTTTTTGGGTGTTCAGTTGAACACCTCTGAACCAAAGGGATCCACCACTGCTGACAACTCCCATCACACAAGTTCCGCACCCAAGAATCTGAGGCGTCGCCCTCTAGAGACGATGAAACCCACGCAGACCTTCGCCAAGCAGAGAAGATGCTTCGACATCCTCCCTTTGACATCACTCTCCCCAATTGTGCAGAGCACCTTGTCCAGTAGCTATGCTTTCGGCTTGGCTATGCTCTGTAGCGCCGATTGATGGTCGTGACCCCTTCACGCAAAGACTGCTCGAGTTCAGAAGCCTCCTGCCGCCAACAAAGCTCCGCCGCGCAACTATTCAGCAACGTTGCCTAAACCCTAGACCCTTCCGCTTTTTTTAACTCACCCTCTATGTTTAACCTTTCAATCCACTTTCCCATTTTTAATACCCATTTTAAAGTACCACTACACATAATTAGGAGTCCAAAAACTTCACATTTAACCTTTTGAACTCCTAATACTTCACCACTCCAAATAGTCTAATATCCGCATCTCTACAAATGGTAATATACTCCGTACATAGTGTTTTTAAAAAAGGATGACACCCCATCCCTGAGGGTCTCTCAACTCCGACCGGACGGTACGTTAGGAGGATGTAAATTGGACTATAATCTCATTCTGACATACAGAGAGTGAGGTTCTGTCCCCGATACTTGCAGAGGCTCTATGCATTTTAGCATAGTAACCCCTCATCGCAATTGTCGGGATTCGAATCCGAGACCTAACCATTGTGGCACTTCCTCACTACCATTTGAGTATGCCCACCCGTACGGTATGTAGTATTTAATCTCCACTCCAATGTAGAGAAAAATGGTCTTTTTTTATTTATGGTCACAAAAGATTGAGGGACCCACCTTTTCTTTAAACTCTTTAGTCTTTAGTCTCTAGCACCAAATCCGATTAGTCTGCACGGCGCGGATAGCAATCCGCGTGCAGTGTTTACATCGAATATCAGCCGTTCGTCTAACCAGAATCCAACAGCCAGAAATCTCCGATATAATCACGATTCCACCCGCCATGGCGCCAGACACGAAATTTGAAAATTCTGAAAAAAAGTCCACACACTCACAATATTAAACTGACCATCCATCGCCCCATTTTCCCATACATTTTCAATCTAAACCCAGTATCCCACTTCGCCGCCCCAAACCCTAACCACGACAAGGAAATGGCGAGAACCAAGCAGACGGCCAGAAAATCAACCGGCGGCAAGGCTCCGAGGAAGCAATTGGCCACCAAGGCGGCCAGGAAATCCGCTCCCGCCACCGGCGGTGTGAAGAAGCCCCACCGGTTTCGCCCTGGAACTGTCGCTCTCCGGGAGATCCGGAAGTACCAGAAGAGCACGGAGCTTTTGATCCGCAAGCTTCCGTTCCAGAGGCTGGTGAGGGAGATCGCCCAGGATTTCAAGACAGATTTACGGTTCCAGAGCAGCGCCGTTTCAGCTTTGCAGGAGGCTGCGGAGGCATACCTGGTTGGACTCTTCGAAGATACTAATTTGTGCGCAATTCACGCCAAGAGGGTTACAATCATGCCAAAGGATATGCAGCTGGCAAGGAGAATCAGAGGGGAGAGGGCTTAATGTGGTCTTTGTGTGGGAATGACTGATTCTGTTCTTCAATTAGAATCTCAATATGATAATCTGATGTTAGAATGTTGGTTGTTGTTAGTACCTCAGTTACGGCGGTGATTTGGACTTGGAATGAGTTGCCGGAAAACTCGGAAATGCTGTTAAAATCGTTTTGATTTTGCTGTGATTTGAGGAGTATCATTTCTCCATTTAAAGTTGCAAACCTTATTTCATAAATGAATTGTACTACATTTGAAATCGTTTTAAGGCTACTTTGGAACGGTTCGGTAAATTTGTAAAATTTGTAATGTATTCGTGAGGTTTTTAACGGTTCGGTATTATCCGATTCCAAGGATAGAACCGTTCGATATGAGGTCGTTTCGGAACGGTACAAAATGGTATGACACAATGTAAACACATCCTAATTTTTTTGAACAAATTTTATAATGAGTACATATCATCACACTAACTAACTACGTAGTACATGAAATGTTTAAATAATTACATCTCTTAATATTGGTATGGAAGAGAGTGACGTGGTTTTTAAGAAAAGTAGAATTATGTGGTTGGTAATGAGTTTATGAAGTGAAAATAAAGTAAGAATGAATTAGAGCCACACAAATGTTACCAAATATGGTATGTGAAAATAATAAAGGGACATCCAAAATTGAAAAAATAAGACAATTATAGAGGGACGGAGGAAGTATAAGAAATTGCTTACATAGTACTAAAATTCACAAATACACAAATAGTGCAATATAATTAAGAAAAAGTATAACAAAACGAAGACGTATGAGATAAATATTATTTTTAATTTACTAAGTTCATGTGAAAATATAAAAACGAATATCATCAAATTATTGAATATAATAGAAATCTTTAACTTTTTTCTTCTTTGTTCTAGGTTAAATATTACTCCATAGTTCTAATTTTGTAAAAAATGTACAAACATGATACAACAAAAAGTCATGTACACTATATTACCAGAAATAAATAATTATTAATGATTTCTAAAATTTTAATATTCTTTCAATACATACCAAAATATAACATAAATTATCTAAAAAGAAAAACTAACAATATATATATAAAACACATTTTAGATATATCTTAGGGACACATGAATACATACTTGGGGTATAAAATTGTTGGTCTAGATCTATTGATATAGAAAAAATATAAAAAAATTCAAATGCATTATTTACGAACGGTTCGGTCCGGTATTTTTTTGGTTCTCAAAATCTAGGACCGGTCCCGTACCTGTTTCAAACAGTACGGTTTCAGTACAGGATAAAAATCTATAGAACTGTTTAAATACCCGATATTCGGTTCGGTACCATTACGGGACGGTTCGGTACCGATTCGGTTCGGGTTTTATGCCCACCCCTAATGAAAAGAGTCATTCTTGTTGTACCTACTTTTATACACACATTTGTACTCATTCCCTTATTTTGTGTGTACACAGACAAACACAGACAAAATCCTGTCTTTCTTTAACGAATTACATGTGTGGATATGCAAAATAGGGGTAGGTATAAAAGTGGATACAAATAGATTTTTTTGCAATGAAAATTAAGATAAACTTAGTAATTAATATACTCCGTATGTAAAAAGGTTCAGCACTTCAGCACACCCCAAAACGTTTCAAATATTATCATATGATATCCGTAGTACATATTTCATGTGAAAAGCACTTCGCTATAGTTTTTGTAGTAGATGAAAGCTTTTAGATATTTCATTGATCTTCCCCAAAATATATAGGCAGTTAAACCTAAGTTAAAAAAATTTAATAGGGAGATTATCACAAATAGGACAACACTAATGCAATTTCCCTAAAATGAAACCTAATGTTCAAATTCCATAAATAACTTTTTATTTGTGAAATTTAATGTTTAAAATTTCATAAATATAGGTTGTAGCAATGCTGCCACCTATGAATAAGGCGACGAATCTAGTTAATAAATTCATCCATTTGCATGAAAAATAACTATGATACTTCTTAAAAAAGTTGTCTAAATACATGACACATGTTGATTTTCTAGCTATGAAAAAGCATGTAAAAGAGGCACAATGCCCATTTCCATTAGGAACCTAGAGATATGGATGATTTCTTGGAACCCTAAAGTATATATCATCCCCTCCATACCTATAAATAGGGGTCTTAATTGAGAAAAATGAGGATATAACTCCCAAATGAACAAATGATGCAAAGAAGTTTTGAAGAATTCTGAAGAAGTGGAAAAGATCAAGCAATGAATTTTATTAAGAATAAACAAATAATGCTTTGTGATTTTATCCATTCCTAATAAAATAAGTCTAAATTGTGAAGAACATTCAAATGTATAGAAAACGGAGCCTTTAAGATTCAAAAATCTGAATGAAGCTCTTAAGATTTGAAGATATTCATATCAATATTGAATCTAGATTCAATTGAAGATCAATCCATATATCACGGAAAACCTTTTAACAGAAATCCCGAAAAGCTTTTAAGATTTGAAGATCAATCGAATTGAAGATCAAGTCATTAAAAAGATCCTTTTGTGGAAGATCACGCTACGTAAAAATCGAAGACCCTTCAAGAAAAATTCTATATTCAAGAACATTCAAAGATTCAAAGGATGAAGCTTTGAAAATTTTGAAGATATAGAGAACGAAGTTTTGAAGATCCGAAGAATGAAAGTTCAAAGATTCAAAGATCTGAAAGTTGAAGATCCCTTATATTTATCGTTTTATATTTTTGTATATTTTTATCTTTTATCTTTCTTATACTCTTATGTTATTTTTATTTTATATAATCCGTATATCTTTATCTTACCTATTTTATCTTCTTTACCCTTTTATTTTTCTTATCTTTCCTTTTCTTTTGGCTTTGGTATCATGACTAGATTCATGTTAGCCGACCTCAAAATCTTTTGACAATAAGGTTTGGATGTTGTTTTTGTAACTATAAGTTTTCCATAATTTATTAGATTCGACTAATTTAGTAGCTTCTGTCAGAATTTCAACATTTTGAGCCGATTTAATCAATTTTAGTGTTTAAAACGGACTCTACATGTTTGGTAAAAAGTTGTTCGAGAAAACAAATGTAACCAAACAGGCCTTAGTGTAATTAAATTCACTTTTCTTATTTAATTAACATAATTTGATGAAAAGACTATTTTGACTCTTGTTTCATACGTAGTATACATTTTCTCTCATCATTTTTTAACAAATAACTAGCTTAATTAGGTCAATCAGGCTATCTATTGTTGTACATAGCAAAATTGACTTAAAAAGAAATGAAATGTCAACCTCATATTATTGTTAAAATTAAATTGTTTAATTAAATTTTGTTAATCAATAAGAGAGTGACATATCAGCGGTTTGTAACTAAGCTTTACTATATAAAACAATAGATGTGCTAGTCTTTTATTGGTTAATAAAAATTCTGTTATGTTGAAGGAATTTCTATGTTGTGTGCTATCGTTTAGATAGAATATGTATTAGGGTCTTTCTATGTGAATTATGTATGATGGGTCTATCGGCCCGTACTTGTAAACCCTAATCTATCCCTATTTATAGGGGTGTTTGCTAATGAAACTCGAAACACATTTCTCCCTACAACACGTTTATAAATGAAGCAAACTCCAAATTTCCGAGTATCATTGTATGTCGAAGATAGAGACACGATATGTACTCATAATGAAATATGAGAAACCTTAGATACTTGACAGTTGAAATTGAGATAAAGGATCTCGGGAAACTCGGGTCTCTTTTGAAATTAAACACCGAGTTGGTTGAATACTAATTCACCAGTTGCATATATCCAAAAGGGCTCTCAGGCAAATTAACATGGATAAATGTAAACTGTTAGCACTCCCATGATCGATCAAAATATGGATACTAGAAAGATCTATTATCGAAATGTTACTGGGAGAATGAATTCCCTATATATGTGCAATATGCGCATGATTGTACTTTAACAAACACACTCAACCAAATATTACATTTTCAAGAACGTGTTAGCTGAAAATAGCTCAGGGTCAACATATCGTATATCATCATTGGAATGGTATCAATAGTGTACTTTGATATTTAAATAAAACCATTGATGCAATCTTTATTCATCCCTTATAAATTAAATTAAATGATTTATGATATTATTATTCTTAATGGAATTGGAAATGTCAAAAGTATCACTCTAAAACAAAGTAACGTTTTTATCGATAATGGATATCCCCTGACCTCATGGATATTTTCTTAAATGAGTATATATTTATCATGAAAGAAACCACAATATTATATACAGAATAACTTGATAAAAGTAAATATCAAGTAAATATTGGATTATTATTGATGCGTTATACTCATGGGGAGTCTTGATATACTTATTTATCATCAATTATATTAGTGTGTTGTATTCTTTTTTTTCCTTTTGACCAAGTTTTACTTGGTAAGGTTTTTGGAGGCAACATAATATGCACCGTCCCATATTTTAATTTTGCAAAAAGAAAATAATGTTGAAGAAAGAACATATTCCCTCCGGTTCTGAAATATCTTTACACTTTCCATTTTTATCAGTACCACAATTATCTTTACACTTCCTTATTTGCCTTATTTGGCAAATAAATCTACACAAAACAGTGCCAAACAGTGTCAAATAGTGCCAAACAGTGCCAAACAGTGTACTCTATAGTAAAGTCAAATTTATTTTCTTAAAAACTGTGAAGTCAAAGTGTCAAGATCTTTTGGAACCGGAGGGAGTATTTAATATATCACAGCCAAAAGCAAATGCCGCGTGCTTATTAGTGCGTCATACTCCTTTTTTTCTTTGACCAATGTTCATTTGCGAGGTTTTAGTAAGTTAATAATTTTTACACTTATCACCTTACGCTCGGTACACATGGGGAAATTAAAGGAATTATATTCCTCTATTGGTGTGCCTTCGCTAAGGTAATTAGTGCGACAAGTATTGTTACACACATATTTTGCAAACATCCTTGATTAATGTAGATATTAAGGGTATATATAGACTTGAGGGGGAGTACCTTGACTAGGTTACGTTGCACTCTTTTCCTTTAACCAAATTTTATTTTATCCTACTGAGTTTTTTTACTTAGTAAGATTTTTAATGAGGTATGTAACGATGCATATAAAGTTTAATGATCAAAGCAAGGATCACATAAAGATAGACTTAATGGAAGAAGCCTATCTTGATGTTATACTCTTTTTCTTCAGCCAAGGTTATTTTTCTCCATAGGGTTTTTGTTATTTGATAGAATTTTGAAGAGACAACAAGACGCATAAAACATTCTATCTACAACTCAGCACAAAGGAGAGTGTTGAAGGAAATTCTATGTTGTGTGCTATCGTTTTGATAAAATATGTATTATGGCCTTTCTATGTAAATTATGTATTATGAGCCTATCAACGCGTGCTTTTAAATCCTAATCTATCCCTATTTGTAGGGGCGTTCGTTAATCCAAGACCACTTGG